ACTCTGCCCAGGGGGATAGCTTGAGGCTCTGTCTCAAAAAAAAAAAAAAAAAGAAAAGAAAGATGAGTAATATGAAATAGAAGCATGTTGGATAGCCAGAGCTTAGTAAAGAGATTTAATAGTAAAGGATTTGTCAGTGTTGGCTGCTGTAGAGAGGATGGAAGAGAGACCACTGGCCTTGGCAATTAGGGTGGCTCTGGTAAACTCTGAGAGAACATTGTTAACTGAATTATTAGGATAGAACCCAGAGCAGGCTCAGCGCCAGTCCCATACACCTGAGCTGGCGAGTTCAAATCCAGCCAGGGCCCGCCAAACAAGTGATGACTGCAACCAAAAAATAGCCGGGCATTGTGGCAGACACCTTTAGTCCCAGCTACTTCAGAGGCAGAGGCAGAGGCAGGAGAATTGCTTGAGCCCAGGAGTTGGAGGTTGCTGTGAGCTGTGATGCCATGGCCCTCTACCCAGGGTGACACCTTGAGGCTCAGTCTCAAAAAAAAAAAAAAGAATCCAGAGAGCAGTAACTTGAAGTAGACTTGGGAGTATAGGTGTAATACTGAGAAGCCTTGGAGGAGGAGAAGCTGGTTGCAAGGAAGATTTTTTTTTTTTAGAGACAGAGTCTCACTTTGTTGCCCTTGGTAGAGTACTGTGGTGACACAGCTCACAGCAATCTCCAGCTCTTGGGCTTAGGCAATTCTCTTGCTTCAGCTTCCCAAGTAGATGGGACTACAGGCGCCCACCAAAACGCCCGGCTATTTTCTGTTGTAGTTTGGTCAGGGCCGGTTTTGAACACGACACCCTCGGTATATGGGGCCAGTACCCTACTCATTGAGCCACAGGTGCTGCCCAAGGAAGGTTTTTTTGTTTTGTTTTTGGGACAGAGCCTCAAGCTGTTGCCTTGGGTAGAGTGCGATGGCATCACAGCTCACAGCAACCTCCAACTCCAGGGCTCAAGGGATTCTCCTTCCTCCGCCTCCCAAGTAGCTGGGACTAGGCACCTGCCACAATGCCTGGCTGTTTTTTTGGTTGCAGCTTTTGGCGGTTTGGCAGGCCCGGGCTGGATTTGAACCCTCCAGCTCAGGTGTGTGTGGCTGGCGCCTTAGCCTCTTGAGCCACAGGCACCAAGCTGGAAGGTTTAGTCTCACTTTATTGCCCTTGGTAGAGTGCCATGGTGTCACAGCTAACAGCAACCTCCAACTCCTGGCTTTAGGAGATTGTCTTGCCTCAGCCTCCCAAGTAGCTGGGACCACATGCGCCCGCCACAATGCCCGGCTATTTTTTTGTTGCAGTTTGGCCGAGGCCGGGTTTGAACCTGCCACCCTCAGTATATGGGGCTAGCACCCTACTTACTGAGCCACAGGCACTGCCCCGGAAGGTATTTTTTAACTATGGAGGTCTGAGATTATTTATGGAGGCGAAAGGAAGGATTCAGTGGAAAAGAAGAAATGAAAAAAACTTTATTTAATTAAACGTTTGCTGGCTTGGCAGCTGTGGCTCAAGCGGCTAAGGCGCCTGCCACATACACCTGAGCTAGTGGGTTCAAATCCAGCCTGGGCCCACCAAACAGCAATGACGGTTGCAACTAAAAAATAGCCAGGTGTTGTGGTGGGCACCTGTGGTCCCAAATGCTTGGGAGGCAGTGGCAGGAGAATCGCTTAAGCCCAGGAGTTGGAGGTTGCTGCTATCTGTGACAGCACAGCACTCTACTGAGGGAGACAGGGTAAGACTCTGTCTCAAAAAAAATAATAATTTATAGAGTAAAAGTTGGGAAGGGATCATATAAGGAATAGGGCCAGAGACATAACTTTGGTGGCATATTGTTTTCACTGAGAAAAATGGGAAGGTAGAGGCAAAAGGAAACAGGAAATGATTAAAGCCCAGGGTTGTGGTTCAGAGTCAAGAGAACAAGGAAAGACCAGGTGCAGTGGCTCATGCCTGTAATCCTAGCATTCTGGGAGGTCATGGTAGGAGGATCATTTGAGTTTAGGAGTTTGAAACCAGCCTGAGCAAGAGGGAGACCCCATCTCTACTTTAAAAAACAAAACAAAACAGACAAACTAGCTAGGCTTTGCCGCAGGCTCCTGTAATCCCAGCTACTTGGAAGGCTTAGGGAGGAAGATCACTTGGACTCAGGAATTTGAGGTTGCTATGAGCTAGGCTGATGCCATAGCACTCTAGCCTGGGAGTGCTCTGTCTCAAAAAAAAAAAAAAAA